CACCTTCGTCCCATGTCCACTCCTGTTTCTGCCGTAAGTCCTTTTAAAAGCCCCAGGCTAGCAGCTGAAGCAGTCCTATTTCTGGGACCCTCCTGTTATATGGGCGCTCTCTTTCTCCCTCTTCCTCTTCTTCTCTCTCAACTCCTTAAGCTCCTACCCATGAATCTATAATAAATTTCTCTCTAAATGCTCCTTTTGTGGTTCATGAATTTCACTATTTTTTATTTTAATTTTTACTTACGTGTGTGTGTGTGTGTGTGTGTGTGTGTGTGTGTGTGTGTGTGTGTGTGTTACATATGTGTAGGTACTTGGAGGCTAGATGAGCGAGTGGGAACCTTTGGAGCTGGAGTAGGGATTGGCACATAGACATTCCCCAGGGTTGCTTTCTTTTCCTCACGTCCGCAGTGAGCACTGCAGACATTCTCATTTCTTGGAGTCTGTAACTCAGCTGGAGTTTCCTTTGTTTATTTTAAGAGGGACTCAAGTGCAGAGGTCTGGGACTTTACTGACCTTAAATTCCAAAGCCTGCGCTGCTGCAGCCAAGCCAGCTGTTAACTACCTGATCTGGGTGCTGAGAGCTGAACTTCATCCTCAACTCTCTGGCCTCCTTTTATTCTTTGAATTTTAGAGACAAGAACCAAAAAGCTATTTATGTCTTTCTTAGTCAATGTTCTAATGCTTTGAAGAGACACCATGACCACATCAACTCTTATAAAAGAAAGCATTTAATTGGGGCTGGCTTACAGGTTCAGAGGTTTAGTCCATTATCATCATGGCAGGAAGCGTGATGGCATGCAGGCAGACATGGTGCTGGAGAAGGAGCCAAGAGTTCTACATCTAGATCTGCAAGTAGCAGGAAGAGAGAGATACTGGACCTGGCATGGGCTTTTGAAACCTCAAAACTTGTCCCCAGTGACACACTTCTTCCAATAAAGCCACACCTGCCCCAACAAAGCCACACATCCTTTCAAATAAGCATTCAAATATCTGAGGCTTTGAAGACCATTCTTTTTTTTTTTTTTTTAAGATTTATTTATTTATTATGTATACAGTGTTCTGTTTGCATGTATCCCTGCAGGCTAGAAGAAGGAGCCAGATCTCATTACAGATGGTTGTGAGCCACCATATGGGTGCTGGGAATTGAACTCAGGACCTCTGGAAGAAACAGCCAGTGTTCTTAACCTCTGAGCCATCTCTCTAGCCCCTGAAGACCATTCTTAATTCAAGCCACCATAGTGGCACTAGGTTTCCAGAGCCCTAGCTCTCCAAGAAAGGCTCTGTTGTCTCAAGGACATCCCTATTTCTATATTGCTTTGTAAGGAGAAAATGCAAACAAAGCATGGTGGTGAATGCCTGTAACCCCAATGTTTGAGAGGTGGATGTAGAAGGATCAGGAATTCAAAGCCAGTCTTGACTAAATAGTAAGTTCAAGACCAGCCTGGGCTACATGAGACCCTGTCTAAAACAAAAACAAAAGCAAACAAAGCATTTCATATATATAAACTTAACCTTGAGAACATTGGAGGTTGGTCTAGCCTATTCTAAATGCACAAAGCACTTAGAAAATCATCTAGTACAGAGCCCATCTTCCATGTTGGATATTATTGAAATTTGAACAGGTGATCCAGAGGGGCTCTGAGGAGAGTTCAGGCCCCAGCATCACTGACAGATGGAAGAAGATCAGGGGAGGAAGAGGAGAAAAGGAGAGGAGGAGGAGAACCAGAACAAAAATGCCAGAGGAAGGAGCCTCTTAGACCTTAGAGGATGAAGGGAAGTTGATAACAAGAGTCAGTAGCCAGGCTGTCTGGGTCCCAGGCTGGAGGCAGAGAAGAGGGTGGAACAGGGTGCATGGTGTCAGGATCATACCATCAGTACTCTCTGATGTCAGCTCACTTCCTAGGTACGGAAGCCTGTCTGCAGTGTCCCAGTGGGATGCCTTTCTGTTGGGAGCGCTTGCAGGTATTGCCACTGGCAGGAAAGTGAACCAGGAAGAGATAAGAATGAAAACTCGAGACAGTACCATTTTTTGGGGGTGGTGGTGGTTCGAGACAGGGTTTCTCCGTGTAGCCCTGGCTGTCCTGGAACTCGCTCTGTAGCCCAGGCTGGCCTTGAACTCACAGAGATGCACCTGCTTCTGCCTCCCGAGTACTGGGATTAAAGGTGTGTGCCATCACTGCCCAGCTGACAGTGCCATCTTTGCTGGTACTGGATCAAGACCTCCAGTGTTGTAGTATATTATTTTAAGACGTGTTACATTTGTTTATGCTGTGGAACATTTGTTAATGATGCAAAGACATGCTGCGTTCTTTTATGTTGCATTTGTTTAACTCTGTGAAGCTGTGTTACTGTGCCTGTCTAAAACACCTGGTGGTCTAATAAAGAGCTGAAAAGCCAATGGCACGGCAGGAGAAAGGAGGTGGAATTGGCAGGAAGAGAGAATAAACAGAAGGAGAAAAAAGAGAAGGAGAGGGATCAAGGAGTGAGAAAAGGGGGCAGCCACTCAGCCACACAGCCAGACATGGAGTAAGAAATAAGGGAAGAAATACAGAAATAGAGAAAGGTAAAAGCCCAGAAGAGGCAAAAGGTGGGTGAGATAATTTAAGAAAAACTGGCTAGAAACAAGCCAAGCTAAGGCCGGGCATTTATAAGAAAGAATAAGCCTCCATGCATATTTATTTGGGAGCTGGTGGCAGGGCCCCCAAAAGAGCTAAAGAGCAAAAGAGTAAAACAACCAGCTACACTCCAGAGACTGACCCTGTGGTCTATTTTCCTTACACATTGAAACATGGTAGAACTGTGACCTTGGCCTTTACAATAAGAATAGATTCTATTTGCCGATAAACAGAGCTCAGGTCTAGGGCCTAGAGAAGGATCTATGATAAGTATAAGGATGGATTCTATTGGTGGAAGATGCAGAGAACATGGGGCCTCTTTCACAGGGATGTGTTCTATTCACTTGAGAGACTAAGCTCAGGATTAGGCCTAAACAATGCCCAGGATATTGGGGGATTCAGGAAGGCTGGCTCAGAGAATAGTAAAAACATCACCAGGTTGATTGACCACTTTTCAGTCTGACATTCCAGGTGACTAGGCATCATTCATTTCCTTCCATTGAAGAAAACAGGTCTGTGTGATTGACAATCTTGGTTTATCCAATGCTTATCCTAAGCTGTACTTCCTACACCGTTCAGTATCTGTGAGAGGGGAGAACTTTCTTATGGATATGTCATGTAATTGATTGGGTACTATATTGAAAGTCCCGAACAGAATGGACTATGGGAATGCTTTCCTCTGTCGTAAAATTGAAAAGTGTTCGGTTGACAGTCTTTACCATTGTTAGGTCAGGTATTTTCATCGTAAGATTGTTGTGTGGATTTTTTTATTTGTGTGTATACATGTGTATATTTGTGTGCACATGCATACACAGGCCCAGAGGTTGACATTGGGCTCTTCTTCAATAACTGTCTACCTTTTACTTTTTACTGAATGTGGAGGCCTCAGGTTCAGCCAGGCTGACCATCAAGCTCCAAAGGTCCTCCTGTTACTCCAGCACACCCAGATTTCACATGGGTCCTGGGGACCTTACCCAGACCCTCTGTTTGCATATCATATAACTTGCTAACAGCCTAACCTAACCCCTGTTGTGTGGATTTAAAAAAAAAGTAGCATGAGACTGGAAAGATGGCTCAGTGGTTAGGCACACCTGCTGCTGGTCCAGACCTTGATTAGATTCCCAGCACCCACATGTCAGCTCACACCTATCTGTAACTTCAGTGTTGGAAGCTCTCTGTGGGCACTGCATATGCAGTATGCAGACATACAAAAGTCTATATGTTAAAAAAAAGTAGCATGGAAAACATTTAACACAGTGCCTGATCAAACTGTGAGGCCACTGTTCACAGTGAGTCTTTGAGCTTTATAAGTTGCTGTCAGCATTTGCTGAAATAATTGATATAGTCAGTAAGACTTGGAGGCCTTCCTGGAGCCTGGGACATTGGTACGCTAGGTCGAGGTCCGATCTTGGATTGACTGCCTGTCCTGGACAGTAAAAGGGAAGACAGATTGTGAGTTTGCAGACACAGTGGTGGTTGTTGATGCTTTGGGGTGATCATGTTGTCCACTGCTCAGGTGGTCTCGTCTGGTTCTAGTCATTGTGAGACTGACTCTGGGGCCCTCGGGTGGTAGAGGCTTCACTTCTAACTCCAGTGAGAGGAAGCCTCCACGATATGTAGTGTGTCCAGTTCTTCTCTCTCGTGTGTGTTTGCTTGTGTGTTTTTGTTTTTTGAGATAGGACCTCACTATGTAGCCCTGGCTGTCCTGGAACTCATTGTGTAGACCAGGGTAGCATCAAACTCACAGAGGTCCTCTGCCTCCCAAGTGCTGGCATTAAAGGTGTGAGCCACCACTCCTGCCTTATTTATTTTTGAGGAGAACAAGATTCTAGACTCTAAAGAAAAATCAGATCCTAGTATGGGTCAACCTGAGCCACAGAAGTGTGCCCCCCAAAGCCCTAGGGTGCTCAGAAATCCAGGTCAATGTTTGAAGAAGCCACAATATGACCACCCTATTGAAGTCCCAAGGTTTATTATTTAAAAACCCTTTTTTCTAGTTTTTTTGGTTCAAAGTTGTGATTCCATGGAGCTGTTTGAAACATCTTAGGTAAACAGTCTTTAAAAAAATTTATACTTGAAAATTACCACCATTGAAGAAAATCAGCTGTGTCCTCTCTTTGAGCCTGCAGCAAGGCCTGTCCACGTTCAGTTTTGGGGGGTGTTCCTGAACGCTAAGTAGATGTCACATGGCAGAGCTATATATGAGATGGCTTCATCTGCTTGTGTCGCTCTCTCAGTGAGTAAAGAGCACATCTCACTTATCAGGTCCCCCAAGGATATTTCGACAACCTTGGAAGGAGATGGTGCCTCTGAGGGGTCAGTCCTTCCAGCTAGGTCTATTCAAACATGAAGTAGCAAAAACATTATAATGTCTCTTCATCTTTTCAGATCTAATGTTTTGGCATGGCTTCCTGCTTCAGTGCTGTTCGTGGGTATAATCTATGCAGGGTCCAGAGCTTTGTCCAGATTGGTAAGTATTAGGATGTGTGTGGGGGACACACCACCCTCTTTCCTCGTCGCCTTTGTGTTTTAATTTATTGCATCCCACATCAGTTGGGGGCAGACATCAGCTTGAAGGTAAAACTAGATCAGAGAACAGAGGTGTTGGCTTACTGTGGCTGTGCTCAGGATACACAAGGGAACAGCTTATGGAAATATATTTTGACTCATTGTTTCAGAGGGTCCCAGACTGAGTCCTTGCCTCTTAGGGGTTGGGTCTGTAGTAAGGAGGTAGAAGATGGAGGGCCAGGAGTAACTTTCAAAGGCCTGCCCCCAGTAACCTACTGGAGGTCTTGCTGCCTAAAGTTTCCAGACTTTCCCAGATTAGTACCACTGGCTGGGCACCAAGCCTGCAGTGTGTGAGCCCTTCTGAGGGGACACTTGGTATCCAAACCATGACAGAGAAGTCCAGCGCCTGAGATAACATGAAGCACCTTTGCTGCTTTTGTTGAATTGAAGATAACTGGAAAATATGGCAGGGTCAGCTTGTCTCATGAGGCGGAGGTGGGCAAGAGAGAAGGCAGTAGCAACCATTGTGAGGTCTGCCACAGTTAGGCCTCACCTGAGCAGCTTTGGCATGGAGGCTAGCCTCGGCACTCTGCCTGAATACAGTTATCCTTGGAAGCAAGAGTCCGGGCTAAACCTTTACCTGCTGCTGAGGAGTTGGAACTGGGTTGTTACGTTATAGGATAATCTCTTTCTGCACTGTGAAGATGTGGCTCTTCCAAGGCATCTTCTGATTGGTTTAATAACGAGCTGAACGAACAATAGCTAGGCAGGAAAGGATAGGCGGGACTTCTGGGCAGAGAGAGGAACTCTGGGAAGAAGAGAGATGGGATTCACCAGCCAGATACAGAGGAAGTGGGACATACAATATGGAGGAGAGGTAAAGAGCCACGTGGCAGAACATAATATAAACAGGTTAATTGAAGTTTTAAGAGATAGCCTAAGCTAGGCCAAGCTTTCATGATTAATAAGAGGTCTCTGTGTCATTATTTGGGACCTGGTGATCAGAGAAAGTCCGACAGCACTAGGTGCATTGGTGAAATGGTCCAGGGACACTCGGTGCAGCTGTCAACACAAGTGTGGCCCAGAGTGGACAGGTACTGGGGGTACTAGTAAAATGAGGTGTCCACTCTGTCTTCCCATTCCTCCCCTCCCCCTCCAGGACTGAGCTCCTTAGTGTGTGGTTTCTGAAGAACAAAGATGCTTCCAAATGCGTTATTCAGAACTCCAAGCTGTAATTATTTTGCTGTCAAAAGAGAATCCATTAAAACCACATGGACTTATAATCAAGATGGTATTAATGCTTTTTTTCACCGTATCCTGACTTCTGTTTTTATTTATCAGAAAATGTCCTGTGTTCTGCCTTTTGGAAAAATGCAGAATTTGCAAAATAATTCAATCTTTTTACAATGTTTGCTGTTATATTTGTTATTTTTTTCTTGGTTTTTCAAAACAGGGTTTCTCTGTGTAGCTTTGGTGCCTGTCCTGGATCTCGCCCTATAGCCCAGGCTGGCCTTGAACTCACAGCAATCCCCCTAGCTCTGCCTCCTGAGTGCTGGGATTAAAGGCGTGTGCCACCACTGCCTGGCATTGTTTGTTCTTGTGACCTCAGATGTAAAAACAAACAGTCTGTCTAGCTGGGTAACAATATTGTTAGGGCAACTTCAGGATTATAAAATAGCAGTTGAAAAAGTAATTTGGAAATTAAATCATCACTTTTATTTCATGATTTATACAGTTGAGGAGATGGAATGACATGTTCAGAAGGGTGGGATCTTTGGGGTGGGCTAGGAGCTGCCCCACAGTGCACCTTGGTGCCCACCTCGGAGTATTCAGTCACTGCCCACTCTCTCTACCACTTCTTTCTGGTTCCATTAGCTTTAATTTTTCCTCCAAGTTCTGGATATTTATGGGTGCCAGAAGTTTAAAGGTTGAATAAGTCAGGTATTAGGCTTATGATAATAATGCTTTTCTTGTTCAGTGATTTTTCATAGGTTTCAGAGCAATTTTCTTTGTATCCTTTATTATTTATTTTTTATTTTGTGTTTGTGCATATATGTGTGTACGTGTGCCCACCTGTGTATGCATATGTGGATTTTAGAGGTCAGCAATGAGAATCTTCTATCATGCTTCACTACACACACACACACACACACACACACACACACACACACACACACACACACACACACATTTGAGACAAAGTATCTCACAGTTTCAGCTACACTAGTTGGGTAGTGAGACACTGGGGTCTGTCTGTCTCCACCCCCTCTAGCACTGGGTTACAGATGTGCACCCTCACACCTGGCTTTTAGGTTACAGATGTGCACCCTCACACCTGGCTTTTAGGTTACAGATGTGCACCCTCACACCTGGATTTTAGGTTACAGATGTGCACCCTCACACCTGGCTTTTAGGTTACAGATGTGCACCCTCACACCTGGCTTTTAGGTTACGGATGTGCACCCTCACACCTGGCTTTTAGGTTACGGATGTGCACCCTCACACCTGGCTTTTAGGTTACGGATGTGCACCCTCACACCTGGCTTTTAGGTTACGGATGTGCACCTTCACACCTGGATTTTAGGTTACAGATGTGCACCTTCACACCTGGATTTTAGGTTACAGATGTGCACCCTCACACCTGGCTTTTAGGTTACGGATGTGCACCCTCACACCTGGATTTTAGGTTACGGATGTGCACCCTCACACCTGGCTTTTAGGTTACAGATGTGCACCTTCACACCTGGATTTTAGGTTACAGATGTGTACCTTCACACCTGGATTTTAGGTTACAGATGTGCACCCTCACACCTGGCTCTTCGTAGCTTCTGGAAATCTGAACTCAAGTACTCTTGCATGTGCACTGAGCACTTCATCCGCTGCGCCATCTCTCCAGCCTCCTTTGTATCTTTATGTGAGTCACAGTCACTGGGCAAGTGAGGGATGGGGCAAATGCCAGGACCCGATGGAGGAAGAGATGTAGGTGCAGAATCCTGCCTCTAGTCCCACAAAGTGGCAGCTCTTCTGTCGTATTTTGTCTTTTTTAGATTTGTCTCTCTAAGAACTAATGCATATGGACTTCTTTTTACAAATTTTTAAATGATTTTTTTTAATGTGCATTGGTGTTTTACTTGCATATATGTCTGCTTGAGGGTGTCAGATCCCCTGGAACTGGAGTTACAGGCAGTTGTGAGCTGCCATGTGGGTGCTGGGAACTGAATCCGGGTCCTCTGGAAGAACAGCCAGTTCTCTTACCTGCTGAGCCATCTCTCCAGCCTGGACGTTTTCTTTTTTAAAGACTGTCTTCTATGTAGCCTGTTCTGGCTTTAACTTACAGTCCTTTGTCCTTAGTCAGCTGAGCAGTGGAGGGGATTACAAGTGTGTGCCACGGAGCCTGGCCGCTGAGAACCTTTTAACTTTCTTAGGAAGCTCACTCTAGTCGAAGCAGTAAGGAAGTGTAAGCAGTGAGGAAGTTCATGTGAGAAAGTTATAGGACAGAGACCCACTTCGGGCCTGGCTAGGTCCAGAGGGACTGCGGTGACATACCCAGAAAATCCAGTTTGTCTCTGTCTCTCACTTCTACAGGGCATCTGTTCCAATGTCACCCCCTTCCCCTGGTGTCACTGACCTCAGTGTCCCCTCCTCACGGGTCATAAGGAGACTGTCTTCCTAACAGCTCTTATCTGAGCCCCAGGCTCACTTAGACTGGATCCTTGGGGTCCTGCCCATCGATGCTCTGCAGAGTAGCCAGGAGGGTGAGGCCACGTTTCCTAGCCTGCCATGGATCTCACCTCGACCGTCACCCACTGCCACTGGAGAACCACGGAGCACCGACTCTCCTCGGTGGCCAGACTGAGAAGAGGCTGTGGCTGTTCTCAGGTTCAGGCACCTTTGCAAGGGACTCAAATACCAGGTGGCTAGAATCCCGTGGAAAACGCACCATGAGTGTCCATTCAGTCTGTTCTCGGCAGTCAGGGAGTTCTGCACCCTGAACGATGATGCTGCAGAAGGATGGTTTATCTCTAGGCAAGCCTGTCTTTGAACTTGCTCTTTGGCTACGGATTTACATCAGTTTCAGCCCTAAGTGCACGTTGTCTTGTGGTTCACAGCAAAGCTTTTTGAAGCAGTTGATTTACATTCTAGTTTAACCAGTTGACTTCCATTTTCATGTGAGTTCCTGGGCCTGTGAGTGGAGTAGACTGACCTAGAGCATAGCCTTGTCTAGCAGGCAAAGATAAGCTGCTCCATCCAGATCTGTTAGAAAAAGCACCCCACCCCCACGTACCCATTGAGCGGGAGGACAGTGAGTAGGAGCCTCTTGTTACTGTTTTTAGTGACAGATTCAACCCCGCATCTTCTCAGTTCTGTGTCTTTGCGTTGCTGCATAGACGTCCCCAGGGTGATGAGTACCAGGCACTCAGACCGTTTGTGTTGGATGGGAGACAGTCCTCACTGCTCTGGTGCCAAGCTGTCAGCTAATGAATCCACGAGGAATTGGGGGTGAGTGTGGTGAAAATTCGTGGGTGTATTGTTACATGAAACTCTTCTGAGTAGCTGTGCTTCAGAAAGGCCTCCCTGATCTGAGGAAGCCTTGACGCTGTCTGGTGTACAGCACCTGGGAGCTGTGGGGAGTTCTTTGTGGGTTTTCCCACATCCCACTTACAACTGACTGATATGTAGAGGTTAGAAGAGAAGAGCGTGCTCTAAAGACTTTTGTTGCCACTATTTTTTTTTTTTTTTTTTTTTTTTTTTGGTTTTTCGAGACAGGGTTTCTCTGTGTAGCTTTGCGCCTTTTCCTGGAACTCACTTGGTAGCCCAGGCTGGCCTCGAACTCACAGAGATCCACCTGGCTCTGCCTCCCGAGTGCTGGGATTAGAGGCGTGCGCCACCACCGCCCGGCTCTTGTTGCCACTATTAATTTGTGTTTTTTGTTTTTGTTTGTTTTGTTTTGTTTTTGAGACA